TGGCTCAACTTTCAGCTAAACAACAGACAGGATTATAAAATGATTATAAAATGAACCAGAGAAGTACACATCTCTTAGCACAATCAACCATAAGAGATCATAAAGGTAACATTTGCCTATGCATAAAGGTCAGAAGGCAGGAAAGAATAGGAAAGAATGACAAATGGAAATGGTAAACACAGGAAGGAAGTGGGAAGAGTGCTCTTACATTGTGAGGATTGTAATCAATGTGATGAAGCAAAATGTATATAAATTATTGAATGGAAAATCAATTTGCTCTGTAAATGTTCACCCAAATCACAATGAAAAGTTAAAAAATAAAATAAAACTAATGTTGACACATTGTGGTAAATGAAACTAAATGCCACTAAACAACTTGTGTGTTGTTGCTGTTGTTATGTGTCGTGGAGTTGGACCCAACTCATAGTGACCCCTCCTTGGATTTCTGAGGTGGTATATCACTATGGAAGGAGATTGCCCAACCTTCCTTCTGAGGAGTGGCTGGTGGGTTTGAAACGCCAGCCTTCTGGTTAGCAGTCAAGTACCTTAGGCACTATGCTACCAAATTGTCAAATGGTACCCTAACTTGCTGCATAAACGTTCATCAAAAACTCAGAAAATATTATTTTAAAAAAACTGAAAACCATAATGAAATGCTGTGGATGAATCTTTATAAAATCCAGATTTTGAAATATGTATTAGGATAACTGGGGAACTTTGACTCTGGCTGTTTATTAGATGACAGTATGGAATTATTGCTAATTTTTTTACTTACAGTAATGGTATTTATGATTCTGGAGAATGTTCTTATTCTTAAGGGATATATATTGAAGTATTTGAACTGAGTTGTTTTGATATCTACAACTTTCAAATTGTTGGGTTTTTTTATTTTATTTTTTAAAGTATGGAGTGCAAAAACAAGCAGCAAAATGTTAATTGTTGAATCCAGATGGAGGATAAGCATATTCATTATACCGTTCTTTCCACTTTTCTGTACTGTTTAATATTTTCAAAATAAAATGTTTTGGGGAAGATTAGAAAAAAAAAAAAAAAAGAACAAAACCAATCAACAACTAAGGGAAAAAAAAGCTATTTAAGGTCTACTCAGCCCTCTTCTGATTATAGTTTAGAAGGTTCTTCAGGATGGAAGTAAAAAGCTTCAATATAATTATAAAAAGACAAAAGAGGGTTATTTAGTCAATGTTGTAAGAACACTTAGCATTTAGGAAGAGGAAAAGACCTTAAAGAAGTGCCATTTTAGATAGAGTTAAAAAATCTATTACAGTTCACTTATGTTTACAAGTAATACATTGGAAATGGTTTATGCAGATTGCATGTAAATAATTTTAAATCTGAATGCTAATGAATCACAGAAAAACAAAAAAAACCTCACTGCCGTTGAGTGGGATCCAACTCATAGTGACTCCTCCTTGGGTTTCTGGTAGTATCACTATAGAAGTACATTGCCCAACCTTCTTCAAATGCCTTAGGCACCAGGCTACCAGAGCTCTCAAAGGCATCACAGAAGCTCTTTTATTCCTACTAGACCAAACACCTAAGTAGCGGGTTCTGATTTTACTTGTGTTAAATGGGAATTTAGAACTACAAAGGATATCAGAGGTAACCTAATCCTGTACTTAATTTCAGTTAAAAATAATATTTAACACTGATATTGGAATACTTATTTTCTAGGAAATATCTTAGGTTCATTCTTATATTCAGGCTCACATGCAGACCAGATTTGTGAACTGCTCTAAAATATGGTAATGCAACTCAGACTTTTTTAAGTGGATACAACCAAAACTGGAGCATATATTCCTCTTTGAACATCAAAGTTATTAAAATACCTTTAACTAAAATGGCGAAATCAGATTGACGAGCAGGCGTGGCATGCGAAAGATCAAGGATTCTGTTTGGGTCACAGTAGGTACAAGATGTCTACTAAACCAGTCACTCTTATTTGAATAATTGCTACTTAGATATTCATTTATCAAATAAAATAAAATATACCAAAAAGTAAGCAGCATACGCTGATGTGAAAACAATCAGTAACTGCATAAGTAAAACACCGACTCTTACACACACCAGGGAAAATAATGAAGTGTTTTTTCAAGAACAGCAATATATGCTTTATTGTTTATTTCTTTAGTTGCTTTGTTTTATCAGTGTTACTGAAGGTAGTTTGAAAATAGCATATTAGCTTGCTGGGCTATAACCTTAAGATCACAAAATATTAAAGCTGAAATGGGACTTAGAGATCTTCCAGTTTAAAACCTGTATTTTAGAGATGGAAACTGATGATTCAGGAGAGTAAGTGGCTTGATCAGTGTGACACAGATGGTTGACCGAAAGAATACAGAATGAGACTGCCTTTAAACACTTAGTATGGTTTAAGAGTTTATATCAAATTTCACTTTGCAGGATCTATACAATTCAGATTTTGAAGGTCAGCTTGAGGCTTTCTTTATTTCTATGAATTTCATAAATATAATAATAAATGTGGTATCTTCATGTTGTAGCAATTCCTGGGTGTCATAAACAGTTTCCACTTAGCCACTAATCAAAATGTTGGTGGTTCAAATCCACCCATCAGTGCTGTGAAAAAAAGGCCTGGCTATCTACTTTGGTAACACTGTAGTCACTGAAAACCCTAAGGAGAAGTTCTAATCTGGTACACATGGAGTCACCATGAGCTGGAATCAATTCAACAGCAATGTTTTTCTTCTATTTTTTATTTTTCAGAATAGAGGTTATGGCCTTCCCTTGTTCATAAATTTCATATAATTTTAGTCACTCGTGGAAACATTTAGAAAGAAATTAGAAATAAATACACACATATGCACATGCACACACACATATGGTTAATTTCTGCTATTACAAAAATAACAGTCACTTAGGTACAAAGGCAGAATTTTTCATTTACTAAATATTTGTGGAAAAGTATTTGGGATAAAGGGGAAAAACACGTGTTTAAAGAGAAAAATGCATTACAGTAACATACTCTGCCTAACTAATGTCAGTTTGTTTCATTCATAAGCAAACATTGATCAAGCTTTGGCAACGTACATTGCTCTTGCTTGCACACTGGCAGCTTCCTTCAAGAGGAAAGAAATAACTCAATGCAATGGAAAAGAGGAACTGAAATGGCTCCGCAGCTCCCCAAACTGAGTACAAATTTCCCGTCTCACCAACTTCAAGGGTTCATGACTCTGAACCTTAGGGAAGGAGGAAGAAAAAATAATGGAATAGTAGGTAGAAAAGAGGAAAGAAAAGTAAAGGAAAAGACAAATACGTCCCAGATGTATCTGTGCCCACTCCAAATCATCAGTTACAGTAGAACAGTTTTTTAAGTGCACAAATATTCTTCCTTCCTTTCACTTAAAATACAGAATATTCATGTGTCTCAAGGAAGAGTGATATTGGACCAAAATGATTAAATTAGCTTTATTGTTCAAATACAGAATTTATGAAGACAATATAATTCAAAAGAAACTTCCTAAAGAAATACATAAAAACACATCCTTTTTGAGATACGTAGCTGATGGGTTCAGATTTTCAAAAGCTGTATTATTTTGTGTAACTGAAAAATATTTTGGTTCTCAGTTTCAGAGACTGTGAACAGGTTCTCAGTTTCAGAGACTGTGAACAGTGTATAGGGAGAACCTTCACCCAAGCTGGGGAGAACCTTCACCCAAGCTGGGAAGAATGCACTACACCTCAGGCCCTTTATTACGGTGTCCTCTAAGGAGTCTTCCTCCTTTGAATCAAGTTACACTCTCAACACACTGACTACTATCTAATCACATAACTCATAAAAGTCTTAAGTCAATCTATTGATCACCTCCCTTCCCACACTTGCGCCACCAGAGTAATTCTGAGGCTTAGTTCTGTTAGGATACTTACTGATCTTCTGCATAATCCATTGTGAGTGGAGCAGAGGATATACATTTCCAACATTTCAAGAGGCTTTCTTTTTCTGCTTCTGCCTAAATATGGTATCTCCCTAATTCATAAATCTATTCTGAATGTTAATTAAATATTTCCAAAGCACTTTAATATTCTCCCAGAATGCTAATACGAAAATAGCAATTTATGTTCATTTGACTAAGCAGAAAGTATGCCCTCCCAAATTAAGTGCCGCTGAATTTGATTCAAATGAAGCCAATGTCTTAAAAATAGAAGAAAAGAAAAAAAAGTTTGACACCTACTATGTTCAAGACTCTGTGCCATATAGGGAGATACAAGTAAACTTTCTAGGACTAAAATAACTGCCATAAATTACAACATCTCATATTATTTAACTCACACCATTTTCCTCTGGGCTTAAAAGATAAATTAGATGAAAAACACTTACCTTTTTAGCATTAAGCTTTTACACTGCACAACACTATATCTACTTACATAAAAATCCAGTATTTTCAACATATCAACATATTTTTCACATTTTGTTCATTAGGTTTTTGAATGTATTTTAGCATGAAGTTTCCATTTATTGTATCCAAAAATAAAAATAACTTCAAAGTCTTTTTGCGGCTCCCCAAACACAGTTAGGGAATAATGATTGTATGCTAAAAAATGTAAAATGCAATTTGTGCTGTGTCCCATTTACTACAGAATCACTACAAACAATGTATTTTGTACAGCATATTGCTCCAGGGAAACTGGATCAGCATCAGGAATGAACAAAGAACACTGCATTTGAAATCAGCTAATTTGGCTTCAGCTCTTTTAAAAACTATTTGTTATGATATTGCTTCCTTTCAAGCACATAATATTATATTTTCCTCAATAAAACTAAACAGTTGCTGTGATTTCAGCATCCTTAATTTTCCACTTTGTAAACACTAAATAGTTAAACATTGCAGACCTGGAAGTCTCTAGCCAGTCATCTGATCCACCCATCTCCTTGTCTAAGGTGCTGTTATGTCACATAAACATATATATATGTTTATGTGTATATATATATATATATATATAGTGGCCTTGGTCGAGGTTCTTACCTGCCCACAGGCCAGGCCCATTCCTCTTTCTCCCATGCCATGCGGACATGATAAATTTAACTCCAGGGCATCTGCTCCAGAATCCTTTAAGACATGGAAAGAAAATGAAAGAAAAGGCAAAGCTTTATTTGTATGCTGACATACTTTCACCACTGATAATTCAACAAAGGTCATGTTTGTGGAACTTTACTCTGTTTTTTCATCACAGTTATCTTATGAGATACATTCTGATTCTCTTAACTAAAGGTATGTATAACATGAACAACAACAACAGCAGTCTAATATTTACTAAGTATTTGACTCATTTCCAACTTAGAGTGACACTATGGGACAGAGTAGAAATGCTTCATAGAATTTTCAAGGCTGAAATCTTTACAGAAGCAGACTGACTCATCTTTCTCCCTTGGAGCAGCTGGTGGGTTTGAACTACCAACATTTTTATTAGCAGTTGAGCACTTAACTATTGTGCCACCAGGGATCCACATTACAAAGAGCTACATTTATTTCATAAACTGCAACTGCAAACTTATAATTAGTTACCTTAAGAGAGAATAATTACACTTACTGAGCACTTAAAATACGCAGGCACTTTACTAGGCCCTTCATATATTTTATCTTCTTTAATCCTATGACAACTCTACAAGGTAAGAAACAGTTTTATTTTCATTTTACAAATGGTAAGACCGAGACATAAAGATCTAAAGTGACTTACCCAAGGGCGCACAAGTTGTATATGAGAATAGGGTCTTGAACTCAAGTATTTTGAGTTCAGAGCCTGTGTTTCTGCCCAAAATTACAATTCATTAGAAACTCTTTATTCCATGGCTGGAGTTGGTACAAAGTATTATGAAAGATATAATAACTTGGCATCCTTAAAGCTTTTAAATTTGAAGTAAAAATTAAAATCCTTTACAATCACCCACCAGCCGCTCCACACAAGGAAGATGGGACAATCTACTTCTGTAAAGATTTACTACCTCGGAAAACCAGTGGGGGTCGCTATGAGTTGGAATCGACTCACGACAGTGAGTTTGGTTTTTGGTTATCCAAAACAGAGACTTTTCAGTTGCAGATTATTAAAAATTTCCCAATATCACATTATATACAAACATCAGCCTACCAAACACACCTGGAAAACCTTTAGCATGAGCACCTCAAAAGCTGAATTAATCTTGTTCAAGGTGCGTCCAAGAGATTAGGAATATGCATTTGGCCTCTGCTGGAATATTCCTGTCTCGGGATGCACATCATCTTAAAAGGCAGTTAATTCCAATTCTGAGTGACTAAAACTATTCAAAAAAGCCTTAATTGCTGAATTAACAAGAAATATTAACTTAACAGAAACTAGGCATGCATTCTGACTCCTCTTAGTTACGGGTATTTTAGTTTAGTCATTTAGCACAGAATTTATCTGTCTCACCTAAATGATTTTATGAAATAAAGTACTGTGGTTAAAGGAGAACACAGGAAATAAGGCGTTATTTCATACTGTGTTACAGATGATAGATAATTTATATATTATCTATCATCCATTTATCTATATGATGTAGGGTGTATGTGTTAATAGTGTGGACTCGTATCCCCATTTCAAGGATTTAAATCTCACCTTTACCACATACTGACAGTATGAACTGTTGTAGTGTGGTTGTCAGGTGCTGTCGAGTAGGCGCTGACTCATAGGGACCCTATGTACAAAAGAGCGAAACACTGTCCACATCCTGTGCCATCCTCACAATCCTTGCTATACCTGAACCTATCATTGCAGCCACTGGGTCAATCCACCTTGCTGAGGACCCTCCTCTTTTTTGTTGACCTTCTACTTTACCAAGCATGATATCCTTCTCCAGGAAATGGTCCCTTCTGACAACATGGCCAAAGCATGTCAGATAAGTCTGGCCATTCTCACTTGCAAGGAGTATTCTGGCTGCACTTCATCTAGAACAGATTTGTTTGTTCTTTTGGCAGTCCATGGTACTTTCAGTATTTTTCGCCAACACCACAACTCAAAAGCATCAACTCTTCCTGGGTCTTCCTAATTCACTGTCCAGCTTTTACATGCATACGAGGCAATGGAAAATATCATGGCTGGGTTAGGCACACCTTAGTGTACAAAGAGATATCTTTGCTCTTCAGCACGTTGAAGAGGTGTTTTGCAGCAGATTTGCCCAGTGCAATATGATGTCTGATTTCATGGCTGCAGCTTCCATTGGTGGTGATTTTGGATCCAAGTAATATGAAATCTTTGACAACTTCGATCTTTTCTCCATTTATAGTGATGCTCCTTATTGGTCCAGTTGTGAGGATTTTAATTTTTTTTTTTTAAGATTGAGGTATAGTCCATACTATAGACTGTAGTCTTTAATCTTCATCGGTAAGTGCTTCAAGTTATACTCATTTTCAGCAAGCAAGGTTATTCTTGATGTTATCCCACAATTTATCTGGTTTTTGGTCACTGCGGTTCAATGAATCAAACCTATTCTTCAGATGGTCTCTAAATTAAGGTGGGATGTAATCAAGATCATATATTGACTCTCATGGACTTGTTTTAATTGTCTTCAGCTTTAACTTGAACTTGCATAGGAGAAATTGATGGTCTGTTCTGCAGTAAGCTCCTGGCCTTGTTTTGGATGAAGATACTGAGTATCTCCTTTGCTTTTTTCCACTGATGTACTTGATCTGATTCCTGTATATTCTATCTGGCAAGGTCCACATGTATAGCGGTCATTTATGTTGTTGAAAAAGGTATTTGTAATGAATTAGTCATTGGATTTGCAAAATTCTATCATGTGACCTCCAGCATCATTTCTATCACCAAGGCCATATTTTCTAACTACCAGTAATTCTTTGTTTCCAATTTTTTTGCATTCCAATCACCAGAATAATCAATGCATCTTGATTGCACATTTGGTCAATTTCAGACTGCTTAAGTTCGTAAAAATCTTCAATTTCCTCATCTTTGGCTTTAGTGGTTGGTGCAAAATTTTGAATAATAATAGTAGTAGTAACTGGTCTTCCTTGTAGGTATAGGAATATTATCTTATCACTGACAGAACTGTACCTCAGGACAGATCTTGAAACATTCTTTGTGACAATGAATGCCACACCATTCCTCTTCAATTTGTCATTTGTGGCATAGTAGATCATATGATTGTCAGATTCAAAATGGCCAAAACCAGTGCATTTCAGCTCACTAGTGCTGATGACATTGATCTTTATGCATTTCATTTCATTTTTGACTACTTGCAGTTTTCCTACATTCATACTTCGTACATTCCACGTTGCAATTATTAATGGATGTTTGCAGCAGTTTCTTCCTAGTTTGAGTTGTGCCCCATCAGAAAATGAAGATTCCAAAAGCTTTACTCCATACATGTCGTTAAGGTTGACTCTATTTTAAGGAGGCAGCTCTTCCCAATCATACTGTGAGTGCCTTCTGACGTGAGGGGCTCCTTTTCCAGCACTACATCAGGCAGTGTTTCAGGGATATTCATATGGTTTTCCCTGGCCAATTCCTTGAGAAGAGGATGGCCCCCTCTTTCTCTTAGTCTAGCATTCCTGCTGAAACCTGTCATCATAGGTGACCTTGCAGGTATTTGAAACACTGGTGGCATAGCCTCCAGTATCACAGCAACACACAAACCACCACAGTATGACAAACTGACAGAGAAGTTGTGGGCAATATGAACTTGGGCATGTTGTTTAACTACTTTTTACCTTAGTTATTTCATATGTAAAAAATAGAAAACAATGATACCAATGGTACTAAGCCATAAGTTTACCATTATAAAGTCTAAATAAATTTAATTAAGTCTTCCTTATTCATCATACAGCTTTCAAATATATATCAGGCAAATAAAAATATCATGGTGTGAGTCAGGTGCACCTTAATGTTCAATGTGACATCTTTGCTTTTTACCACTTTAAAGAAATCCTTTGTGCCAGATTTGCCTGATGCAAAACGTCATTTCATTTATCGACTGCTGTTTCCATGGGCATTGACTGAAGATCAATGAAACTCTTGACAACTTTAGTCTTTTCCCCATTTATCATAATGTTGCTTATTCACCCAGTTGTGAGGATTTTCCTTTCCTTTATATTGATGTAAGATCCATACTGAAGGCTGTAGTCTTTGATCTTCATCAGTAAGTACTTCAAGTTCTCTTCACTTTTAGCAAGCAAGGTTATGTCATGTGCATATTACAAGTTGTTAGTTTTTTTTCCTAATCCTGATCCACAGTCTTCTTCATATAGTCCAGTTTTTCAGATTATTTGTTCAGTGTACAGATAGAACAAGTATGGTGAAAGGATACAACCCTAATGCACACCATTCCTGATCTTAAACCATGCAGTATCCCCTTGTTCTGTTTAAACAATTGTCTGTTGATCTACATATAGGTCTGTATGTTGTTGTTATTAGGTGCCACTGAGTCAGCTCCAACCCTTAGTGACCCTCTGAACAACTGAACAAAACAGTGTTTGGTCCTGTGCCATCCTCACAGTCTTTGCTATGTTACAGCCCATGGACACAGCCACTGTGTCAATCCATCTCATTGAGGGCCTTCCCCTTTTTCACTGACCCTCTACTTTATCAACCATAATATCTTTCTCCAGGGATGGGTTCCTTCTGAAAATAAGACCAAAGTACGTGAGACAAAGTTTGACCATTCATGTTTCTAAGGAGCATTCTGGCTGTATTTCTTCCAAGACAGACTGGTTTATTCTTCTGGTAGTCCATGGTGTTTTCAGTGTTCTTCACCAGAACAATTAAGTGTTCTGGAATTCCCACTCTTCACAATGTTATCTTTAATATGTTATAATGCACATAGTTGAATGCCTTTGCATAGTTAATAAAACACAGGTAAACATCTTTCTAGCATTCTCTGATTTTAGCCAAGTTCCATCTGACATCTGACATCCCTCATTCTATGTCCTCTTCTGAACCCAGCTTGAATTCCTGATAGTTCTCTGTCTATGTACTACTGCAGCCATTTTTGAATTATCTTCCACAAAATTTTACTTCCTATTATATGGGGTCACTATGAGTCAGAAACGACTCAATGGCAGTGAGGTTTTTTTTTTTTAAA